ACAATTTAGTAGTAATTAGTACTATTTGTTTCACGCTTTAAGTGCGAGCACTCTATGAATGGATATTGTGCAAGTTAAGATAATTTTTAGGTTGTTAATATAAAGTCCTTCACGTTTTAATTTCTCAATCTGTGTAAAAAAATCTTTCTTCTATTTGAGAGAAATCCACAAGTAGATACAACGTAGGGAAGGAATAGACGCTTGTGCCTGAACTTTGAGTTAATCGATGAGTAACTTTTCATAAAGCCTATGTTATGTTCGATTCTTGTTCGTATGGAACGAAGTGCGCTATTTGCTCGTCTCTGTCTTCTGTTTCGAGGGATTCTTCTCGGTACTATAAGCGGTACTCTAGCTGCGTATATACCGTCAGCGAGAAGCCAAGCTCTTTGTGGAAGTGCACGAGCTAACCCAAAGCCAATTTGTGGTATATGATGAAAACATTGTGCATCATTCATATGGCCTGGAAATCTGCATTAAAAAATATATATCAGAAGCTGAAAACGCTTGGTATCTATATTAGGAGGACCTACACACAATTGCAGTTCCTATATATCACAAGTTCTAAAAATATTCTATGAAGTGTGCAAGTTATTTCAAATTATTTAGTGTTATAATTAATACTTACATATAAAATTTAAGGTACAGAAAATACATTTTAACAACGATGAATATTAAAATTACTTACATACCCTGAAACCAGCATAACAATCAAACCGTTTGGGTCCACAACGACTTGGGATGACATAAAGTGACATTTCTTGTCACCACGATAGAAGAGTGCTTGTTCACGACCAGAAGGTCGGTTTATGCGATGTATTGTTCCATCAATCATCCCCACAACGTTTGGAAAACTCGGAAAGGTGTTTAAGAATTGGCGCCATTTCTGCATGTTATGCCATGTGGTGTAATGCCTGTACCTAACAAACAATATTGGGACTACGTGGTAGATTTCTTCGACTACAGTGCTTTTTGAAATGTGAAATATGTGAGCGAGGACATTTAGTTTCAAGTATTGGAAGGAAAGGAAAGGAAAGACCCGGAAAAACCATCGGCGCAAGGAAGAGAACGAAAGAAACTCAAATCACATATGGGGCCCCGACCGAGATTCGCAGAGGGTCCACAGAGGTGACAGGCCAGCGCTCTCACCGCTCGGCCACCCGTGCGTCCCCAGATGACTCACACGTCGCTACACGTCTGCACAGATGTCTGTACATCTAAGATCAGATTTCATACAAGAGTTTTGCGCTTGCCTTACGTAAAAAAGATGTAACTGTGACAGCAAAA